TCGTTTTCAGGTCAGGTCAAAGATGATGTCACAGGGGTCAAAAATTTCAAAATGGCGGCGCTAGATAGGAGGAGAGTTTTCTCGAATACCTTTCGAAGCAGCCAGGCTAGGAACAAACTAATGGCACCATTGTGATCCTCTCGTCAATCCGCATCGATTCATATATGTGTTGACCTCAAAAGGTTAAGGTCAAAGGTTGACCTCAGGTCACATGACCTCAAGTCAACATGCATCATTCGATGGGCCTTGACGAGCTGAACACGATGAAACCATCCGCGCGGCTGTATTGTTCATGTGAGGAGTTATTAGCCAAAAATATTTGGTGACCCTTGATGACGTCACATAACCTTACAGTTGCCCAAGAGCAAAAAAGGCCTCAAGGTATTCAAGGTTGATTGACCTTTTTACGCTCTTTGAATATTTTGCATTGTTGACCTTGTATGACGTCATTTATGACGTCACTAGGGTCGTACGAGTTTGTCGTCAATAACTCCCGATAAAATTGAGCTAGAGAGTCAGAAGGGTCACCAATGGACTCCGGAAGACCTGCCGAATCGAATGATATGCAATATGACCTCCCTCGACCAACTTCGTGACCTGAAAACCTCTGACCTGATCTTGACTCTAGCCTCGAGGTCAACACCTTACGGAACAAGTAGTGCATGGACGCGTTTCGATTATTAAATCTTCATCAGCATGACATAATCACAGAGAAAACAAGATATTTATACATATCTTGTTTTCTTTGTGATTATGTCATGCTGATGAAGATTTAATAATCGAAACGCGTCCATGCACTATTTGTTCCGTGTTTTTCTACTTGTCTCTATCAATATACATTTGTCAACACCTTACGGTGGCCTCAACTGAACAAAAATATACCATTCGACGCGCCTGAGCAAGGTGAACACGACGATGCCAAAATTGTGGTTCTGCGGCCATTTTTTTGCGAAGTTGCTATATTTACCAAAAACCGAATCCGTTCCTTGGGTCACGTTATGAAATGGGGCCTTGCCGGGCGAGATTTACGCTGTTTCAAGACATGTAACCGAAGATTTGTTGTCAATAGTTAAAACATTATTCTTTAGAAGCAAAATGTGGACCCGAGGACCCGGTGGTCCACCGTCCAAAGAACCAGTCTGGATCCATATGGGTCCAGACCGGTTCCTGGAAATTTTCTGACGGGTCCAACTGGGTCCTACCATAAACTATACATCTGGCACACTACACATTATTGCAAAATATGAAGTGAATGTTTCTTTGCACACAGTAGCTCATGAGTATTCCCAGTGGGGAAATAGGCTGTTTTACATGATGCAACTAATGATACCTACAAGTAGTTTGCATTAACCCAGATCTGCCCAGAACAAAAATGTTTTCAGATTTTTTTGTTACGCTGGTTTTTGGGTACTTTTGAATCACATTGCTTACCAGCATGTGTCATTTGTTGTTGGCTGTACCCGTTTTGTCGGAAATTGCCGTATCATATATGATACGCTGGGCATTTTCGCACTTTTATAGCACCTTAACGAACCTTTGCATTTGCCTATAATTTTACTCGTGAAAACGTCTCAGAATTGCCAGCTTTGAGTTTATTTGTAATAATGACACCAAGGAAACAGTAAATCGTAATTGACCAGACCCATAGATACCTATAGGTGAGTATGTCAACAAGTGCTTTCTGACATAATGCTTACTTTTGGGGCTGGAAGGTATCAAATACAATTTCCGTGGCCAGTTCTTCACTAGTAGACAGTAACTTACCAATTAACGTCTGTCTTCAAGTCACTGGGACTTACCTTGGCAGAGAATCTAGACATTCCAGTGGTGGATGACCATGTTGATGGAGATGATGTTTTCGTAAAAACCACCGGAGGCGTCCTAAGACACGTACGAATACTCTGGTGATAATGAGGATGTCACAAGAAAACGTGATATCAACCGTCATCCTGCTCGGCAGCTGAATGCTCGGGCCGAGGTGCGAGGGAGAGAAAACTTTCCGGGGCACTATTCTGACGGAAAACGTCTCGGAGACCTTCAGAGATGCGAGGTAAAGCGGAAGCGTTGCTGGCCCAGCGTCAGAGCTCGGGAAGGTCCTCGAAGCAAAGAGACGAAAGGTCTGAAATGGAAGCAAGGGCAGTGCCCTGTGATCGTCTTCACCGGTACGCATCTTTCAGACTTCGATTCACACAAATACCGCGATTCTTCTCTAATTGAGACATCCCTTCCTTTATACATGATGAAGTCCTTAAGCTCGTCCGGAAGGTCATGGTGTTTCACGCTTTTGACATCGTCGAAGTCTGACCTCGAGTTCCCTGACACTATAAACAAGAAGGACAAGATATCCTCCTTCGTGACACTGCACTCGACGTCAGACTTCAGGCACGTGCTCCATCTCCTATGGATGTGTTCCCTTTTGTCCACTTTTCATGTCGCTTCAAGGACCTTCTCGACTTCTGTTGCTGGGATGCAACAATGTCGCTGCTTAACCTTGCATCTCTAAAGGTCTCCGAGACGTCTTCTTTCTCGGAATCGCGTTTCGGAAAGTTTATTCCTCCTTGAACATTGGCCCTAACACACAGCTGCCGAGTAAGATGCCGGTTGAGGTCACGTTCTTCTGTGGCATCCTCATCATCACCAGAGTACTCGACCGTGTCGTAGGACGCCTCCGATGGTTTTACCAAGACGTCACCTCCATCAACATCGTCATCCACCACTAGAATGTCTAGAATTTGCGCCAAGGTGACTGGAAAACATATGGATTAGGGGCAAGTAGGTTGTGTAGGCTAATGTGAGAAACTGCCCACCGTATCATATATGATACGAATATGTTGTTATCATTCCTGGCACGCCAGCTTTGGCGCAAAATGTATTCAACCACCTGGTGTGTGAGCTTGAACATTTGGTACTATGCTGCCACGAAATTGAGCAGTTCGGCAGAAAGCACTAGTTAGCATACTAACGTCGGCATTATTGGGTCTGGTAAATTACGACTTCTGTGGGCAGCTGTTTTTGTTTAATCATGCTACACGGAAAATATATGAAATATAGAAAAGGTTACCCACTCTGGAAATAGTACACACGACTGACAACACAACACCACAAAATAAAGTTTCGGCGTCTTTCAGATGGAAGTCGGTTGCCTAGCAACGGCCGAGCGACTCATCGTATCATAAATGATACGGTGGGCAGATCTGGGATTGACTTTTGGGGAACGGGTCCAACTGGTTCCGGTTCCAACTAAGGCCGGGTCCGACTGGTTCCAGAAATGTCCAGACGGGTCTGGTTCGAGTCTGGTTCCCAAAATTTTCATCTTTTGCCGCCTCTAATCCTGACATGACCATTCCACATTCCGAGTCATTCGGTGGCACTCCCAGCCGTTTGACCTACAGAGGTCAAACCACCTCCCACCTCCCACCCGATGTACGTAATGCCCAGCATATCTATCAGTTCAAGCGCCGTCTTAAAGATTTTCTTCTAGACGATGATATGATGTGAGGCGATGATACGGATGTGTCTGGTTGGCCGATTGACCTCTGACCCTAGTGGTGGTGATGTTGTGTGTGTGTGTTTTTTTCATGTCATCTTTTATATTATCTCGTTTTATGTCCCACCTTTTTATTCACAAGACGTGTAACTTTTAAACAGCCACTGTAAAGTGGAAAGTTGCTAAATACATGAATTGAATTGAATTGAGGTCAGCAAAGGTCACGTGGCCCAAGTTTGCACAGCAGATTGTGGCCCACCCAGTAGAGCTAGAGCGCTAAAAAATGGCACCAATCGACTCGCCAGCATCTAATCTTGCTTTTCCGATACCCATTTGACCTCTCAAGGTCATGCGATGACCTAAGGTCATTTGTGGGCTATGTCGGAAATACAATATGTCGGCCCATAAGCCGTAGTAACTTTGCTTAGAAACCGCTTCTCGATATGTGACCCCGTTTGACCTCGGCAGGGTAAAATGTACAAATAAACGACACTCCATAGTCCATACGTCGCAGCCCGGATTCAGCCCAGATTCGGGACACCTCCGATCAAGCTGAAACTCGCACACAATATTGGTGCTGGCATGCCCAAGACACAGTCCGAGTAATTCAGTGGCACTCCTAGCTGTTTCACCTACAGAGGTCAGCAAAGGTCACGTGGCCCAAATTTGCACGGCAGATTGTGTGCCCACCCAGTAGAGCTAGAGCGCTAAAAATGGCAACATTCGACTGGCCAACATCTAATCTTACTTTCTAAATACTTATTTGACCTCTCAAGGTCATGCGATGACCTAAGGTCATTTGTGGGCTATGTCGAAAATATACTTGCACAGCAGCTCTCGAGTAGAGAGGTTGACCGAATTCCAAATCAAAGCACATCATCTGGTAGCCCGTAGGCCGTAGTAACTTTTCTTAAAAACTGCTTTTCGATATCTGACCCCGTTTGATCTCGGCAGGACAAAATGTACAAATAAACGACACTCCATACGTCGCAGCCCGGATTCAGCCCAGATTCGAGACACTTCCGATCAAGCTAAACTCCCACACAATTTAGATCCTGACATTATAAATCCACAGTCCGAGTCATTCGGTGGCACTCCCAGCCGTTTGACCTACAGAGGTCAGCAAAGGTCACGTGGCCCAAATTTGCACGGCAGATTGTGGGCCACCCAGTAGAGCTAGAGCGCTAAAAATGGCGACATTCGACTGGCCAGCATCTAATCTTACTTTCCCAATACTTATTTGACCTCTCAAGGTCATGCGATGACCTAAGGTCATTTGTGGGCTATGTCGAAAATACATTTGCACAACAGTTCTTGAGTAGAGAGATTGGCCGAATTGCAAATCAAAGCACATCATCGGGTAGCCCATTAGCCGTAGTAACTTTCCTAAAAACCACTTCTCGATATGTGACCCTGTTTGACCTCGGCAGGGCAATATGTACAAATAAATGACACTCCATACGTTGTTGTTGTTGATTTTCCCTCCGGCCGCGGGTGGCCCCGCGGCGTAGCCTCATCGGCTCTGGAGGGCCCTGAAGGCGGCCACCAGGGCCGCCACCACGTCACTGCGCCAGACCTCGTCGGGTGTTGGTAGGATGTTCCCTACGGCCGGGATTTTGAGGCGAACACCCATCAGGCCCGGGCACGTGAGCAGGATGTGCCGGGGGGTGTCCGCCTCTTCGCCGCACAGCGGGCACCGGGCGGCCTCGCATAGCAGGTCCCGGCATTGGGCGCAGGCGGCTGAGGGGCTCCGGCCGATGGAGTGTAGGAACTGGGTCTATCCACTCCAGTGGCCAGTCCGGATCTGGTGGACATCGATGGCTGCCCGCCGATCCAGGTTGGAGACTGGGGCCGGGTATCTCGTACCCATCAGCTCCCGGTACCAGCCGGTCGCCGCTCTGCGTGTCGGGTCTGGGTATGACGGTCTGTCCCTGGCCGCCCGGTCCCTGGCTAGACGGGCCGCAGTCTTGTAGATGGTGTTGACGTCGATGGAGGCGATTTCTTGTTCCAGCGCCTTCGCCTCTCCCGCCAGCACGTCCGCCGCCTCGTTGCCTGGGATCCCACAATGCGATGGGACCCACTGCAGCGTCACGTGGCGGTCCGGTGTGGCGATTTCCAGCAGGCGGCTCCATATCTCCGCCCCCTGGACCGTCCTCTGGGCCGAAGGCCCCTCTCTCAGTGCAGCCAGGGCAGACTGTGAGTCGGTACAGATTATTATTGGCAATGTGTCGTCACGAGGGTGTGTCGCCAGGTGTTCCAGGGTCATTGCGATGGCCAGCATCTCCGCCCTGAAGCTGGAACAGAGCGCTCCTGCGGGCCTCTTCAGCTCAGTGCGGTCATTATCGGCGTGGACGACCAGCGCGCCGGCCCCTCCACAGAGAACGCCTCCAGTCGCCGACCCGTCGGTCCACACCCAGGTCGCACATTGGGTCAGGGACGCCAGGTGGTGTAGGGCGGCTTCCTTCTTCGTGGAGGCGGCAGCTCCGGCTGGGAGCCCCGCTCCGATGTCCAGGTTAAAGCTGATCGTGCCGGTCGGTTGCCAGGGCGGGGGGCGCACGGGGAGCAGCGGTTCCACCGGTGGCTCCACTCCAAGGGTCCGCCACACCTCCCGACCCAGCTGGCGCCATCCGCAGACGGTCTTGAGGCGCCGCGGTGGGTCCGCGACGGCCAGTCGATGTAGCAGGTCCTCCTTGGGCAGTGCCATGGCCTTCGCCAGCATCCTCGCCGCCAGTGCTGTGCGGCGCGCCGCGACCGGGGCCACGCCGGCTTCGGCCATTACTCCGTGGATGTGGGCCGACCCGATGCAGCCCGTTATGACTCGGGCCGCGGCACGCATCTCGCGTTCAAGAACTTCTATGTTAGTCCTGGCGGCCGCCGGCATCCAGGCGGCCGCCGCATGTTCGATGGCTCCCCTAACGTAGCCGTTGGCGACGGCCCGGAGTTGTCTCTCCTCCAGGCCCCAGCTGCGACCAGTGATTCGTCGTAGTTGAGAGATGCGAGGGCGGACGCGGCGGCGGAGGTTCCTGCAGTGGGGGCCGAACCCCAGAGTCCTGTTCAGCGTTACGCCGAGTAACTTCAGTTCAGGGCCTCCTTCCACCGTCTGGCCCGCCACACGGATGCGGCAACCGACGGCGTCCCGGTGGCTCTGAGACAGAACTAGAAGCTGGGTTTTCTGGCCCGCCACCTCCATCTTGTTCTCCCGGGCCCACTTGACCAGGGTATCGGCCGCTCGTTGTGCCCGCTTCCGCGCGACTTCAGTCGTGTTACCCGAGCACAGTGTGGAGGTGTCGTCCGCAAACATGTACGGAGTAGTGCCCGGCAGGGCTCGGAGGGTTGACGCTAGTGGAGCCGACCACAACAAAAACAAGGTCGGGGACAGGACACTGCCCTGGGGCAGCCCTGCCCTGTAGACGCGCTCGCCGCTCCTTGCTCCGTTGAGCTCGACACAAGCCCACCGGTCTCTGAGGAAGCCCCACACCCAGGAGTTGAAGCACGCCGGTACTCCCATCTCAGCGAGCCGGGCACGCAGGAGGCGATGGTCCACCTTATCGTACGCTCGTGCGAAGTCGTACGCAACGAGGACGAATCTCTGCGCCGACTCACCGTCCGGCAGCTGTTTCCGGGATGGGGGGCACGGCTTCAGCTGCCATCCGTCCTGAACTTGTTGGGTTAGACGAGTGATGGCATCCTCCACACCCCGCTTCTCTCTGAAGCCAACCTGTTCAGGCGGGATTATGCTTCGGGTTGCGATGATGTGGTATACTATATGTACTCCATACTCCATACGTCTATACTCCATACGTCGCAGTCCAGATTCAGCCCAGATTCGGGACACCTCCAATCAAGCTGAAACTCGCACACAATGTAGGTCCTGGCATGCCCAAGACACAGTCCGAGTCATTCGGTGGCACTCAGCTGTTTGACCTACAGAGGTCAGCAAAGGTCACGTGGCCCAAAGTTGCACGTTAGATTGTGGCCCACCCAGTAGAGCTAGAGCGCTAAAAATGGCGACATTCGACTGGCCAGCATCTAATCTTACTTTCCCAATACTTATTTGACCTCTCAAGGTCATGCGATGACCTAAGGTCATTTGTGGGTTATGTCGAAAATACATTTGCACAGCAGTTCTCGAGCAGAGAGATTGGCCGAATTCCAAATCAAAGCACATCATCGGGTAGCCCATAAGCCGTAGTAACTTTCCTTAACAAAAAAACGCTTCTCGATATGTGACCCCGTTTGACCTCTGCAGGGCAAAATGTACAAATAAATGACACAAATGAACAGGATGGGTCGGCAGCCCGGCCGTCCGGCCGGCGAGCCGCCTGACCGCCGCGCGGTCACCGCGCATGCGCTCTGTGCCGTGGTTATATCGACACCTTTTTTTTTAACCCCACATCTGCTCTCCCGTGAATTTCCGGGAGGCACGAAAGATCTCCTTTTAAAAGTGTCCAATCGTCCGATCCTGATCAAATATGTGTGTTCGTAGGCCTGTTCTGGTATTGCTTTATCTGCCAGGACAGACAAACTTGAGAAAAATTGAGTGATTGTACCTTTTTTGAAGGTCTCTAACCAACTTGTCTGAAAATCACCGGAGAACAAATGTGGGGTTTAAAAAAAGGTGTCGATATAAGGGCGCGACCGTGACCGGACTGGGGCAGTCGGCGGGTCGCCGTGTCCGTGCTGGGTCTTCGGTCGCTGGAAGCACAATACACCGTGTCGTGGTATATGCAGCTTTACTTGGTCCTAACATATATTGGCGCGGTCGGTAGGACCAATAACATAAATGGGCTGCATATGAGTTTTTAAGAAAGAAGATTGCTGTGAGAGTTCTGTGACGGCCTACGCAAGCTCACGGTGGAAACGGTGGACGGAGCCGGTGAGTAGAGACTTTGGGTGATGAGAGGTTCTCTCCAGTAGAGTTCAGTATAACAAGCTATGGATTTATCTACCATTTTCCTTTCAAGAGCCTCGAAATTTAGCGGAGAGTCGGGGGAACTGTGGCAGAAATGGTTCCGCCGATTCGAAGCTCAGACGGCGAGCATGAAAGCCGGGGACCGGCTGGCGGCTATGGTGGGTCTTTTGGACGGAGTCGCACTGGACACATTCGCGTCACTCACCGAAGAGTCACGAGAACTACGGCAGGGTGGTTGAAGCACTGGAAAGTCGGTTCGGTCGGCAAATAAGCACGTTGCAGGCTCATGCCGAACTCAACCGAGTTTGCCAGTCACCTTCGGAGTCTGTTGAAGACTTCTCAGCCAGGATCAGAGAGCTGAGTGGGCTAGCCCAGCCGGCTCTGCCCAGCGACCACAGCGCTATGGAGGGATTCCAGTACGGCCGATTCATCTGTGGCCTCCGTGACACGCAATTGCAAGAGAGGTTAATCAGCCAAAACGTATCCACACTGACTGACTCGGTACGCGTTAGTAAAGAATTCGAGGAGACGAGGAAGACGATCAAGGCAGTGCGAAATCATGAGATCGACGTCATCGGGGCGGTCCGCCCGGTCGGGGGTGAAGCAACCGTGGGTCAAGCAGAAAAGACTGTGACGGACAACAACCGGCTCACAACCATCGAAGATCATATTCGCGGGCTACACGAGTCGATATCGGCCATCACAATGGCACCGAAGACGACAACGGATGCGAGTAAGTATCGCCGACTTCCCCGGTGCTACCGCTGCGAGCAGCCGGGTCATTTTCAGCGAGACTGCCCCGAGCGTAGCCGTGGTTCACCTAGCGTCAGATGCTTCGGCTGTGAAGAATTGGGTCACCTCAAGCGACACTGCCCCATTTCATTGCCGTCGACAAGGGATGGGCGCGCGCCGCCGCTCTGCTTATGTTGTGGGCAGCAGGGCCACTGGATGGCGGGGTGCCAATACTTCCAGGGTGGCAGCACTGGCGGAGGCCACTCCGAGACAAGAGCTGCTGATCCCCGGCGGGGTGCCGGTGGGCATCAGGAAAACTGAACCGGACTGGAGCCGTGGGACAGGTCCCAGTCCTCTCTAAAGCGTCCCCACTCACGGCGTCGGCCGTTCGGGTCGTCATTCACGGCACTCCGACATGGGCGCTGGTGGACACTGGTGCCGACTTCACCATGATACGAAGAGGATTTTATGAAGGGAACCCAGCACTAAGAACGATCCGGCTCAGCCCGAGCGCGCGCAATGCTATCGGAGCGGGAGGTACCTCCCTCCAGATAGTTGGTGAGTTGGAAAACCTCTCATTATGCATTGATGGAGTCAGCTTCCGATGCCCGGTAGTGACCGTGGCAGACGACCTCGTGTACGACGTGATACTAGGTCGCGACTTCACGTGCATGCATCGCACGGTCATTGACGATGACGCTGGCTCATTCAAGATTGGAACCATGAGCGTTCCCCTGCCGAGCCGGGAGCAGGTTTAACCAAGACGTGCGCGAGTGCGATTACTGTCGAACGTCGTCATTCCAGCACGGTCAGAGAGCGTGGTAGCTGGTAAGCTGGAGAGAGTGGACGGCGTGCAGAGTGATGAAATGGGTGCAGCCGGGATATTCGAGCCATCAACCGTAGCGGAGCTGGAGGGACTCCTGACTCCAGGGGCTCTGGTCGTTGCAGACGACGACGGGTGCGTCTCGATCATTTTGACAAATGTTGGGTCTGAAGAAGTCCGTGTTCTCAGAGGCAGTGACCTAGGGACATTTTATGATGCCACAAACGAGAAGGACTGCGAGTACAAGTTGTGCCTGGCTGCAGACGGAGGCGTTGAGGAGAGTGATGATGATGACGTTGATGATGTGGGCTGCAGAACAGAAAGGCGTCAGAAAACGACGGTGACAGAAGTACTTGATGTGGACGGATCTTACTTCTCAGCGTAAGGAAAGGAGAAGCTCAGAACCATTCTCAGCGAATATGCAGACATCTTCAGTCAGTATGCGGGCTATATCGGCAAGACAGATTTGCTCGAACACCACATCGACACAGGGGGGGGGGAGGCTCCCGTGAAGCAGAGACCACGGCGGGTACCAGTTAAACTCCGCGAGCAAGTCGAGATGCAGAAGACGCAGATGATGAAAGATGGAATAATTGAAGAGAGTACAATTTCGTGGTGCTCCCCAGTCGTCCTGGCCAGAAAGAAAGATGGAAGTTTCCGCTTCTGCGTCGATCTCCGCGCGATCCATAGCCGAACTCGCGGATGTGCGCATCCTCTGCCGAGGGTCGACGAGGCGTTGGACACCCTAGCGGGGGCAACGTGGTACACGACGCTCGTCATGGCGACCGGTTACTGGCAGGTCCCGCTGGCCACAGAGGACCGAGAAAAGACGGCGTTCTCCACGGGCAAAGGACTCCATCAGTTCAGGGTGATGGCCATGGGTCTCGAAAATGCTGGAGCCACATTCCAGCGACTCATGGAACTGGTGCTTGCGTGTCTGGACTCGAAACGCTGTTTAGTCTACCTTGATGACATCATCATATCAAGCAGATCCGAGGACGAGCACATTGCAACGCTCCGTGATGTCTTCAAGCGAGTGAGGTCGGCGAAGCTGAAGCTCAAACCAGAAAAGTGCCGCTTCGCAAAGCGCGAAGTTACGTTCCTCGGTCACCGGGTCGCAAAGGAGGGACTCCTACCGGACCCACATAACATCCAGAAGATACTCGACTGGGCTCCACCGAAGACGGAAGATGGCATGAAGAGCTTCCTCGGATTGTGCGGATATTACAGCCGTTTTGTCCCACAATACATGGATCTGACGAAGCCGCTGAGGGAAGCTAAGTTGGTGGGTGACCACCTGACGTGGACGCCGGAAGCTGAAGCAGCTTTTGAGAGTCTGAAGCAGGCGCTGCCTGCACCTCCAGTGTTAGCCCTCCCTACGTTCCGTGGTACATTCGTCTTGTACAGTGGATCTAGTAAGGATCTCCAGACGAAACTAGATGGCGTTGAGCCTCAGTCGAGTCCATGTGAGATTCAAGCACCCGACTTTGGGTGCTTCTACCCCCCAGGTACCACATCAGTTTTTAAGAAATGCACGATTAGCCGACTGATATTGATAGAGCTTGAAACAAGGAACGTTTTGAGGCTGAAGGTGGCGGTACACATTGCGCCAGTTTTATTTGGGTCCAAGTTAACTTCAATTTTGTACGTTTTTTCAATGGAAAAAGGGTAACGCCAGAACATACCAAAAAGGTCCGTGGCCACGCTGACAACGCTACGTGTTTTGTCTGACCATGATAGCGTGTAAGACGCCGGTCCAACCGGGCTCAACCCGGCCCAACCTGGTTCGGCTCCCTCTTTTTTTAATATAAATTTGGCCCCGACCCTGCTCTCT